TTGGGCACAAAGCACCATGGATACTGGCAGAAGGTAGAGATTGAGCATTTTCTTTCATATTGTTCGAACTGTCGAATGTTCGGTCACTCCAGTTCTCAATGACATCATCTACAACCACACCTTAGACCAAAAAATAAAGTGTTCCGCTAGAGGCAGTGATTTCATCTCCTTCTTATCAACTCCAAGTTATTGACATTATTGATCATCAAAAAGATACACCTGAAAACGATATTATCCCTGCAGACAATATGTCAATCATTCAGTCTTCACACAGTGTTGTAGCTTCCCCGTATTTGGAACCTACTATCGTGGAGGCGAGGTAGATTATTCAGAATCTGCCTGCCCTAGAACCTATCGTTGATATTATCGGTGGAAACACTTCTACTGCTTCACCACCGCCTCATCAGGTCCAGAAAGATGTCAAAGTTACTCAGACTCATGGGGATTATAATGTGCAACGGCCTACACCTGTCCGGCCACCTTTGGACCAATCCATTGATCAGAAGAGTCAATCCTCGGATGAGAAACAACAGGTCTACACATCCAGGAGGAAGAAGAAGAATGCAGACCTATTTGAGCTCAAAAATCTAATGAATGGTACTTTGGTTACTTCGGGTAATGGTACGCACCTTACCAATTTATTAGTCGGCTCCCTTCCGGGAACTAGAGGCAGAAGAAGGACTAAAGTGGGGCGTCCCTAGCACTTTTGGTCCCGTTGGTGAGTTTTTGGTTTTTTATCTTTCTTTATTTTTGCTTTATTGGGTTTTTTTGTATGTTGTATTGTGTTAATTGAGCCTTCTTTTAGGCTCTCTCATACAATCTATCTGTACATTTTCCTCTTTAATATAGTAGCCTTTGGGCTTATATATATATATATATATTGAGAATTTAATATTGCTTTTAAGTTCATGCGTGAACTAATGGAAGAGCAGCAGCTACCAAGAAAATGAAAGATAAATTCTAAATACTAATTTGTTCATTTTGTGCTTGATAGTATGATTTTCAATATTTTTAATTAAGCCTTAAAATATTCAAAAAATCAGGCCTATAAATTTCATGAAAAGAGCAAGATTTGATGCTTTCAAATGTAAACCTTCACTATATTCACAAGTTGAAGTGCCAATCCATCCTTCCTCTCAAACCTAGAAGCAATATCAAATTCTACGTAAACTACAAAAATAAAAGACCTAAAAAGCAAATAGTAGTAGCATCCACTAGCAAAAGTTCAGCAAATATAAAGCTAAGTGTAAATTAGGATCATTGAAATAATGCGGACAAAGCTAAGGAAATGCATTTCAAATAAGAATGTGATAGGTATTCTCGTTAGATTGTGATTAACATTATAGGAACATTGAGAGAAAAGTCCAGTGCAATATACTTTTCAGGATAATCTTAAAATGATATGACAAGGGCTAATGAGCCCAACGGGCATTAATGAATTATAAATCTGATATAAATTTGTGAATAACGATTTCGTACAGCTGAAAGAAAATTTATCGCTTAGAATAAGAGAGCGGCCTAACAAGCTTAGAAATCTCATCTTCGGTGAAAACAAATGCAGATTTGTTCATGGTTGCTATATTATGGTGTAACTAAGTCATTATTAAAAAATAAAGGGAAGTGTTTGAATAAAGAGGAATCAAATCCTAGAATATTTAACCCACTAACAATCTTGAAAAAGATGAAAAAGGAAAATAATTAGAGACTCAATTTAGGCGGTAGGAAGGAAGGAGGACAACCTTCACAGAGTAATAGGCCACCAAAATAACTGGCATTATTGGAGACTAAATTGGATTTTAAGCTGAAACCTCAAGAGCAACTAGGGAGAAGGATGAGATGAGATCCAATAAAATACTTATCACAAGAGATAACACAATAGGGTAAGGCTAGAATGATGGTTGTAGCACCATCCAAAACCAAAGTAGTTAATTAAGCAAATGCCAAACTTGAAAGGAATAGTAGAATCAGCACTAAGAGAGAAGAGATTAGATGGCAATGAGAGGGCAATCATAAATATAATAGGAATTGGTCTTGAAAGCTTTCACTGATAATACTAAGAACATGATAGTGATGTAATGAGGAACTAATGCTAAAGAGCATGTACTTACACAATCATGAGCATGTGCTTACACAACCATGAGCATGAAGAGAAACACGGCGCTAGATAAAAGGAAGAATATTCCTGTGAACAAGATTGAACATGAGCTTGACAAAGCAAGGGAGTGATGGAAAGTGAGTTTAGTCACATGTGCATGGCCTTAGATGAGCGGGGGCTAGGGAACAAAGCATATAGATAAGTCGTGGTGATGTATGACATGTGAATGTGGCACCACACGATCACTCAAGTGTGCAATTTGAATTATGAACATGAGGTCAGAGAGCTTACTAATTGTTGGGCACCAAGGAACATTACAAAAGAATTTAAGGTGGATCTAAAATTTAGCAAGTGATGAAGTGTGAGTGTAAATAGATTTTAAGATTATATTTTATAGAAAGGTCAAACCCTTGTTAATGGATTCTAAAATTTATAGAAGAGAAGTAGAGATGTCTGGATGATGTTAAAGTAGATAAAAACACAAAAAAAATAACATAATCCTAATAAGAAAGTGGAGGTTTTAATCATCAAGATAAGAATTAAAGAGAACTTTTTAATTTGAACTTCAAGCAAAATAATGTCCTAATTACATTCATTAGAATTGTTTATAAATTACATTAAGTTAAGCAAATAAGAAATTTACATTCAAATTGGAGTTCTGAATGTTTGCTTGAAGTATATATCAGTTCACAAGATGCCTTATTCAGTCACATGTTCTCCTTCACTTAAATATTAAATTGGAGGGGGAAACACATCACGAATCAACCAAGCTCCCACAATATCTTCACTTCTCAACCAATCTTTAACTGCAACTGGATTTGAAATTTAAAATTATAGTGATGATTAAAATATTTCAAGAAAGTTTGTGGGTCTTGATTTGGGGTCTTATGACTAGTATGTGCAATAATCAATGGTCTACATCAATTCTACCTCACCATCAAATATTTTGCTCTATGTAGTTAAATCAGATGTAACAATAAAAGGGTCAAAATTCTGTAACAAAATTTATTTTGTCCGCAAATGTGGTTGAGTGTTTGTAGATGTTAGAACATACTGTAGTGTGATGATCAAATTAATTGAGAAGCATATAAAGAGAGGCACCTATAAAAAAATGGATTTATAGCTTCTACAAGCTAGGATGCATATCATAATGCTTTATAAAGCATACGTATTCTGATATACAAATGCAATGAAAATAAGGGTCGAGAAAATAAATAAAAGTGGCAAAATCAAAAGAAAAAAATCAATCCAATGTTCCTATGGATGATCATATGCATTGAATACATTACATAGGGCAAGTAAATGTAGAATAAAATATAAGCACAATCAATATATTTACATGGTACATATTTTTGATAAATAGTTGTAACATATTCATTGAAGTTCTTCTCAACTTGTGGCGTAGGCAAACAACGTTTTGCAAAATATGATAACATAAAATGAATGATGAATCAAACCAACCATATCAAGTAATAGAAATAAAAGTTTTATGAAAGGATTAATGATTGGAAACAATAATCGATGGTAGGTTTATGGCGTGGAGGTCTAATTTGGGGTTGAGGGTAAAAGAGGGTGGTATATAGTGTGACATATAAGTGAAAAATTAAGACTAGCTGAAAGAGATCTAATTTAGACTAATATTACTTTAGCATCGATGAAAAATGATTATAAAGGGCAATTTAAGATAAATAGTTGTGATCTGGAGCTTTTGGTGGAGTTTTAAAATGTCTAAGGGCTTCTAAGTATAAGGAGAATAAGAAAGGTTTAAACTAATATCGGCCGAAGTTTCATAAAAAGCTTATAAAATATATGTTGAGGGTTGTTGATGATGGGAAGTGGAATTAGGATGGTATTAAGATATGTAATAGTATAGACATTAGAATGAAGATAGTCAGAAAATAATTACAAAAGGATAGCCAATTATCCCACTCAGAAGAAACTGTCATTGCTGAGTGAAAGATTACTTTTGTAAATTTTTATATCATCAAAACGTCAACATTTTCATTTCATTTCCATCATGTGATAGTTATAATTAATAGACCAACAACTCACTTGATTTGAAGGGGTCATGCTTAGAAGTAAATCTCTATTTATGCATTTATCTGATCCATTCCCCACCAATTTTTCTTCATTAACTTAAAACAAGTTGACCCCTACAAGATGCAACCAATGTTCCACCTTAATGCATGCATATGTTAGCAAAGATTATGAAAATGGTGCAATTAACATTTCATCTCCATTTCAACTATATTTAGTATTTTAAATTATTTTAAATGATTTAACATGTCTAATAATTCCCCTACAAGATGCAACCAATGTTCCACCTTAATGTATGCAATATGAAATAAAAGTAAAAAAACGCCTTAAATTTATTTAATGGTTTGATATGGAATAACTTGATATCTTGCCCTTTTACTTGACTTCATAGGTATTGTATCTACCATAATGAACAAAATCCATATCAAATAGTCTTGGCATACCTAAAATAATTTATTGTCCCTAGAAAGAACACACGATATTTAGTTCGCATAATTTCCAATTTTGAAAGCACTAAACTTATAACGGTTGCAAACAAGGCAATGATATTCACCTAGCTTATATGAAACGTAGGATGTGACTTATGTGTAAATTAATTAGTTCTTGTGTCTGTATGACAACTTGCACTACTTTATCAATGATTAATACACGCCTCTTTTCATCACATGATGCATACATTTCAAAAGAAAAAAAAATTATTCTTCAATCATAGGAATCATAATATAAAACTGAAAGACAATTGCATAACAATTAAAGGGGCGACAATAAACTCATCATCAGTATCATAATTTGCCAACCCGGCTTGAAAGTATACCCGAGAGACACAAATAATGAGACTGTTGATAAATTTAGAAATAACCTCAATAAGTATAAGCATGATTGCATTAATATATGCCTACCAATAATACATCAAAGCATCAAATCCAATAAGGTATATTAGTTTATCCACCACAATATAATTAAAAGTTCAAAACTGCAATAACTTGTGTGGAATAAATCACTATAAAATGCAATAATTTTTTTCTCTACAATGAATTACTTTTCAATACTAGTGAGTGAATTCTGAGTTGCCCTTTCAGCCAAAGATTTTGCAAAACCAGCCACATGACCAGAATACTTCTACAGCTTCTGGAGAACATGCGCCACCTGCAGCAATGCAATGCAGTAGATAGCAGCTCACTTCTATACTATATTGTGTTTCGGGTCGTGTTCATGTTCACTCTGAGCCTGATAAACAATCGAACACACCGGTAACCATACATGTAGAAACTGTTCTCATGAATATCATTTGATATATAACATCCACAGCAAGATCAATCACAAAAAAGTTATTGTAAAGCAAAAGGTTGTCAACAGTTATGGAAAACAAAAAGGTGTTTCGAAAGCTCCTCATACAGAAATCCATCAGAAGTGCAGACATCTTCACAAAACATAGAATGTATAAAACGATCCTTCAGTGCTTTAAGGAAATACTCAAAATCATTATTCTTCTTACAACAAAATTTGGTTGTTTTGCGATCCATACGAGATAGCCCATTGTTTTGGAGAAATATTTTGTATTATTGATGCATTTCTAAATGAGAAGCTCTTAATGCAATTAATTCTCCCTATATGCTGAATTTTGATGGCTTTCAGCTACATGTGTACATTTTTGCAATGCTTAGGCTTGTAGGCTGTGTAAGAATTGCTTTTTGTTCATATTGCCCTACTCTCAATTCTGTACATCATCACCATGTTGTCATGGATGAGTCATTCTGGGCCTGGGTTTCCATGTGTGCATGAGCATGATTAAGAGTGTAGGAGTACAGGCACCATGGAAAGAGAATTTAAATATGGAAAAGGCTAAATTAGCCAAAAATAAAACCATGTATTTTGGCAAATTTTTACGTTATTTTAACATTGCATTTTTAAATATTTACCATTTGATCCCACATTAATTATCATAAAAGCTCCCACTCCTCCTTTGACATATCAAGATTTTCAAGCTCTCCATCTTCCCTTACAATCTGCAACAATACAAAAATATTTGCGTGATGCATGTTGTCAATAAATAAATTTAAAACTTCACATGATCAAACGCAAAATTTCCTATTTTCCTCACGGTGTGCCTTCTGGTGTGAGTGTTGAATTCCACTATGACTCCTCCAAAGTACCTGCAGCACTCACAAAATCACTTCAAAGATAAACGATCACAACAGTTACAATACCAAGCACAAAAAAATTTGATGTGTCGAACTAGAAGTGCATGTTATGTGGAAGAATGTGGAAAGTTCTAAGAACCCGCATGTTTCTGGTCAAAGCAGGCTCACTTATTCCTTTCATAACATATATTCATATAATAACAGCATGCAAGTGCTTCATACTTTCTATGGATGTAAGCCGGAGCTTTCTGTTGCTCTTGCATAAATAAAATAAAATAAAACTACATGGAGTGCTGTTTTAATTTAAATCAAGTGCACCCTTCTGAGCTCTTAAGTTCTCCAAGCAATTTTCTCATTGTTTGTATTAAAAGGATGAAAATAACACTCATCAATTATGCTCCTCTTAAACGAATTATGGACTCATTGGAGTGATCAAATATCCACCATAACATCATCCTTCTTTTATCTAATTATAAACTGAAGAAGGTGTAGATTTTTAGACTTCCTACTTTGCCCACATATTTTAATGAATTTTTTTTACTCCCAATTTCGCCCCACTGTTTGTATTAATTCCAGGTTAATAATTAAAGAGAGAACTCCAAACACGCGCAAACAGACTACAGCGCCGAATGAATGGATCTTGCCGATAATGGCACAATAACAGCTTTTTGGATGAATGCTAGGATGGGGAAATACATATTCGAAGTAGTGATGGTGATGATGTTCACCTAATCTGCTCTCTGCCACCTCACTTCATCTTATTTGCAAGTCCCAATTAATTGATCCAAAAAGACAAAAAAAAGCCACATAATGAGAGAATAAAAAATAATAATAATAATAAGTAAATGACATCATGGCTTTTCGGAAAGTATCCCTATAATATTAGCTAAGCCGAAAGGCACATCAAGAACATGTCAATGGGCGTCCAAAAGGACCTACTTTTCATCTCCTCTTATTATATCCTAATGATTCATCTATAAATGAAAACATGTCATAAGCCAATATGCAGTCAATTGACAACGCTAGCATAGGGAAAGGAAAATAATCTTGGAGACAAGCTTTATTAAAATCATGGAAGTCAATTTATGAGTCTAATCATTCTTTTCTTTTTCAATAGAGTATTATTGATAATCTAGTCAGCATATCTCTTCTTTAGATAAAACCCACATCAATAAGATCATCAGTGAATACAATCACCTATTTTTCAACTTCGAGTTGCATACATCTTGGTGGTTGTTTGAGAAGTGATGTCTCTGGGTTTATAGTAAACTTGAAAACTATCAATTCTCAAGACGAGTCGAGCATATCAGCAAAGGTCTATGCAAAATAGTCCATAAATTCACAAAAACAGCATCTCGAATAATTCAGCTCACACTTTTGAGGGGAGGTGCTAATGAAGGTTAACAAGGGTCCTAAGGAAATTTGACCACCATATATCTTTCGATTTAGGCTTAACTTTTATGCCTACACAAGTCGATGCGGTGATATCATAGATACTGCCCTCTTAATTGTTTCAATTCCTTTGGCAATCAATGTGTAACAGCCTGTTACTTGAGGATGGATGAGTTGAACATACTTAGGCGGTGTAATTACCATGATCCATTAGTATTTGGGAACAGTTTTCTTCTCACAACAGCCTCCCTACAATTCACTCAATATGGAGTTCATGCCATTGCATTAGACGTCGAAGGTTTGAAGAAAAATACAAAGGTTGTTTTGTAGATACATCTTTCAGACCGAAGTGTTAACATGGCACTGGAATTTCACGTTAAGAATTTGGTAGTCCTATAAAATAAGATTCACAATTCATGATGCTTAAGCAACAAGTTCAAACATCTATATGACATGTGAAATCACTAAAATAATATCCACTCGTCTGTATTTTATATCTGCACATTTAGGTGGGGTTTCATTGGATAGAAATATGCAGATACAAGCAAAATCATCATGTATGCCATTTCAACTCCATAATGTGCGAGGATATAGCAAGGTATCTGCATTTACGTTCATTAGGAAGCTACCAAAATTCCTGTGAGTTTATTTTTGTTATTTTTTTTTTGTCTTTTGTGTAACTTCCTTTTACAGATTTAGTCGAACCAGCTGTCTCATTTTATTTTTTCATCATTTGATTTTTTTCGAATTGTGTTTCAAAGAACATATTTTCACACTAATAAATTTTGAGTAAAATCTGACAACACATTACCAACCCCATGTGAAGCGATAGAGAAACTTGGGTGTCCTACAATGTTAATAAAGTGGTTTGGGTGCGCTACAAGAGGTATTGCAGCGTAAAACTTCATCTCGCCACACCAATAAGGCAATTAGGGGCTAGTGCTAGTGCAAGTGCATTTTTGTCAGATAATCATGACAGCAAGCATCTGGAGGAGTTTAAGAAAATTAATCCTAGACTATATTACATTGAAATTGGTCAAAAACAACAAGTCTTTTTCCCACTAAGTCGGGCAGACTACATGACTCTTTTTTCTCCATTGTGTCCAATTGAGCATCATTTAATTGATATCTAAAGGCCTTCGTTTAAGTAGAACTAAAACTGAATACATGGAATGTAAGTTTAGTAGTAATAGCTCTAGTGACAGAAGTGTGACTTTGGGTGATCAAGTTATTAAAAGGTGTGAACGATTTAGATATCTTGGGTCCGTTGTCCAAAGCGATGGTGATATAGATGGGGATGTTAATAGTAGAATTCAAGTTGGTTGGTTGAAGTGGAGGAATGCTTCGGGCCTTTTGTGTGATAGAAAAGTACCGCTAAGACTGAAAGGAAAATTTTATAAGATGGTGGTGAGACCTGCAATGCTCTATGGCGCTGAATGTTGGCCTTTAAAAGAGAAGCATAATAATAAGTTAAGTGTTGCCGAGATGAGAATGATTAGGTGGATGAGTGGCTTTACACTTAGAGACAAAATGCGGAATGAATATATTCGTGATAGGGTTGGCGTAGCTCCTGTGACAGACAAAATTAGAGAAAGTCGTCTTAGATGGTTTGGTCATATTAAACGTCGACCATTAGATGATCCGATTAGGAGAGTAGATGCTTTAAATTCGACTTGTGTTAAGAAAGGCAGAGGTAGACCTAGGAAGACTTAGGCTTATTGTATTAAAAATGATCATTTACTAGAACTAAATGAAAATATGACACTAAATAGGACGCAATGGAGAAAAAGGATTCATGTAGCCGACCCCACGTGGTGGGATTAAGGCTTTGTTGTTGTTGTTGTTGTTGTTGTGTCCAATTGAGCATCATATTTTCATTTGATTCTAATAAATTAATATCATTTTTTGTACAACATGCCCAAGTCTTTTAGGTTTAACTCTACCTTTCTTGACATAATTCAACTCTAAAACATCCACTCTCCTAATAGGGTCATCAAATGATAGGCATTCAACGTGATCAAACCATCTAAGGAAACTCTCTCCAATCTTGTATGTCGCTGGAGCTACTCCAACCCTTTCACGGATATATTCATTTCTCATTGTCTCTCCGAGTAAGGCGACTCATCCACCTGAGCATTCTCATCTCACCAACACTAAGGCCTCATTTGAGAGGGCTTTATTTTTTGAAAAAGTCCGTCTAAATGCTACAGGCAAGAAAGGTCCTTTAAAATTTATGGTTGATAAACCATACCATCATTTGAATAAAAATTTCATTTACTTTTTAACATTATTAAAAAGACTATTATAGGGGGTGAGGGGATTTTCTCTGTATCGTCATCCACAGAAGGTTCTAGTGTCATTGATGGTGGATCTGGGACCATTCTCTCGATGATATTCTTGCAAATCTCTCTCTGCTTGGATAGGCCAGTTCTTCTCTTGTATGGATATTTAAATTTTCCCAACAAGGAACACTGGGCGGCAGGCAAGAAGTCGTGGAGATTCAACGTTCTGAAATGGAGAGAAAATGTCCTTGAGTTCGCCGCAACTTGCTCCAACGCTAAAACACGAAACAGGCGAGAGCGTTTTGTCGCCATTCTCTACGACGGAACGGCGCTCCTCCTAGCTATCAAACGAAGCCTAAAGTTAATTTTATGCTTCTCTTTTATAGGCCAATATTATGTGCCACAAAGCATTGTAGGTCTCTCTGTCATCTTGCAAAATTTTCCTTTGTGTCTAAGCGGTACTTTTCTATCACACAATAAACCCAATGCATTGCTCCACTTCAAACATCCAAATTGAATTCTACTAATAACGTCCCCATCTGTATCACCATCATTTTAAACAATAGACAGGAATATCTAAAACGTTTAGTACTTTTAATGATTTGATTACCAATTATTACAACCCCGCCACTAAGTCTACTATTAAAATTACATTCCATGTATTCAGTTTTAAATATACTCAAACGAATGTCTTTAGATTCTAAAGATGAATTATAAAAATTATTTAATTTTCCTGAACTCTCTCTAGTCTTAAACTTATAATTTATTTTATAAATCTTCCCTACAACTTGTTAAGTGGAGTGGGCACCTTTTGACACTGTTACTTGAGCTTTGTTAAACTAATATAATGTGACCAGATCAGTAGGACATGTTAACTTTATAGTATCAATTTTGCATAACTTTTCTAAAGCATTGGCTATTAATGGGTGGCATAAAGCACACTCTACCAAGCCAACGATATGATAAGCTCGACCATAATATCTTTTTCCCAACAAAAAGGGCCTTCCTAGTTTGGCCCAAATTTTTCACTACATTGATCTATGTATAAACAGTGCCAGCCCTCCTTGGGCAAATCGTATGTTACAAGATTTATTCATTGTTGCTTGATAGCATTCTAAAATTTGTTATGCCATAAATCACACTTTATCTTAAGCATTTAAGCAGATCAAGTCATATAAGGCCGTTCGGCCTTATGAGACCATATTATATGACATGGTAGAGTAAGAGTGGCAATATACCTTTAAAGGGATGCGTCTTGAACCAGAGCATACAAAGATTCTAATCACAGTATGTTGCATTAAACATCTGCCAAAAATCTATAAGTTTGTGTCATTCTCCTTTATTTTTAGAGTCATTTTATGCAAAATGATATGAGTATCATCATTTGATGTATCATAGTGAACTCATAGAAAAAACACCTTTAAAGACGACATTGTCATCTTATATGATTGAAAGTAACATTTCAAATCCATTGACACTATCGTATAAAAGCACATCCACAATTTTGGCTTCGTGGAACGAAACTTTAAATCACTTTGAGAAATAATTGATACCCTCTAAAATGAATGGATGTCCCACAGAAGAGGGTCGTCAATTGGTTCAATAATATTAATACCTGAGCTCTCAAATGGATATGACACCATCATAAAGTTTAGGCTGAACATAAGATCCTCGATGGAACCAACTTGTAAGCCTAAAGTCATGATGCAAGCTAGTCTCCATCTCTGACAAGGCCTACGGTATAACAGGATGAGGTCTCTGACTGCACCAACCCTACAGGTATCAATATGCAGTGATCTTTATCCCAATATATCATATATCGAAGATATGGTGCAGCTCGAGTTATGTAATGGCACTATGAGGAGGGAAAAGGTCTTAAATGGAGGAAGATTCCTAAATTAGCTTTCAAATTGTCTAATCCCTTATCCGTCATCAAGAAGGGGGAAGGGGAAGAGGGCCTCATCTATAGTTGGGTAAACTTTGTTCTGCTTAGCGTTCTGGAAAGCAACCAAGTGGTTTACTTATGAACACCTATTGTCCAAATATCTATGTTGATTACAGGCAGACAAATCAAGAAAGCAATGCTCATGCTAACCTGCTAAGCTTCAAATAGTCACGCAAACCAATTAGGGGAAATATGGGCATATTGATAGAATTCAATTGGGTCTGTTAAGTGTCTTTTTCCAACCAATAGATCTATTTTAGATTAAATGAACAAATACAATTAAATTGGTGGACATTTGTACAAAGCAACCTTAACAAGCTGAACCTCTCTAATGAAGGCTACATGCTTTAGCATATGTAAACTAAAAGATGAGCATACCTTTTATTCCGCGGGCACCAAACTCGTACAACTTCCCAAATACAATTTCGTGAGGTAATCTTCTTTTTAAATGGAAAAATACTATGTGAATTTCCTGCAATACCAGAAGTGGTTCACCTTAGCATTATTGATAAACAGAAAATTATAAATCTCACAAGCTTCTCAACCTCAGTAAGTAGGCTTAAACAACAAATCACGCCCTTCAATAATGGATTTCAGTGGTGGTAACTTAATTTATCTTTTTAAGAATGTATGTAAAAGACATAGATTTGGTGAGGATTTACTAACCTATGCTGGACTTTCCATTCGTGTAATCCTGCAAACAACAACGCCACTTTATTCTTACACAAACTCCAGAGGGATCTCAAATTTGAAAAAATCGAGGAGAAAAGACAAAACGTAAACAGTAAACGGTCTTAACAACTGTAGAACTGAATTTGAACCAACTCGATCAAATTATAATACAACAGTATGCTGATTGAACGCTTCCTGTATTTTGATACGTTGGAAAGCTATACAAACTTGTGAATCAAGTGGATTGATATTTCAGCATCCAAACATAAGCTCAGGTAGTTTATTCCTTCTCAATGCAAACTAATGACAAAAAGTTTATGTACTTCCATACAAACTGGTGAAGCATATACAAACTGGTGAAGCATATAAATACAAAAATATATATTTTAGCACATTCAAATGACAAAAAGTTTATGTACTTCCATACAAACTAATGTAGGATGTGATCCGACACATGTACACCAAGAAAGCATAAACCTTTATTACTATGGATAATTTTAGCATCCTGTTGAGTTTGAGTCACCTTTTTTTATCTAAGCCAAGTCTCTTAGTTTTAAATACACACGCACAAATATCTATACTAATGTTTTTTTAAAAAATGTTATATGTAACGTAAACACATGAATGCCTAAAATATGAATATATTTATAAACTATAGTACTAAGGTATGTGTGTGTGTCTATATATATGTGTGTGTGTGCGCGCACGTGCATATGCACTTATATGAGTGAAAATGCACAGATATAAGTGTATTTTTAAATGAATTGAGTTGATTGAACTAATTCCTTTCGAGCAATCCTTGAGGAGGAAAACGATTTTAATTGAGTTGATTAACATTCATATTATCATTGCGAGAGTTTGGAGTTTCAAACAAAGTTAACCCACAACATGCAATAATTGAGTTAAGATTTTCTACCCCACTAAACGCAGAAAAAGATGATCCCTTTCTTATGCAAAAGGTAGCCATAAGAATAATATAGAAAACAAAGTTGAATGTAATCAAGGTCGGTTATAGCATAACAAATTTCTGGGTTTTCCAATTAGTTTGGTTCACTAGCTCATAGCCTTATTTCTTTCTTCATGAAAATCAGCCACCGTCAAGCTTTCCGCAAGTAAACTCTTTAAACATAATGCTTTCCAGAATCAGTGCGCCTAAATAACAGCAAGAGAACTAAATATAAAAAATATAAGTGACCGTCCCTTTTTGAAGTATGGCGTAAGCTTCAGCCCAAAGAGCATGTGTTGCCATTTCAGAATGAGAGAATTTTGTATTTTTTACAGCTAAAACCAATGTATGATTGGAACTAACTAACCTGTAAGTCAATCACGTGCAGATGCTGTGTAAGAAACATGACATAGATAACACTTCCAGCAAAGAAGTTTTTCTAAAAAAATTAAAAAAGGGATACAACAGGCTAATAATTAGAGGAAAATTATTGTATATTAGACTTACCTAAAGATTCATAGGCTTGCTTAGTACCAAAGTGCGGAGATTAAAGACTTCCATAGAAAAGGGTTAAAGTTCCATGGAAAAGGGTGGGTTAAAAGTGCTGAAAATGCCGAGTCTGAATGAAAAAAGACATCTCAGCGGGACACTGTTTGGAACTAGGATTGACAGATTTGATTGTAGGAGGAAAAATAAGGATAACATATCCGTAGATATTCATCATAAATAAGCCAACAACCATTTATGAATTAACTAAAAGACTTATTTAGAATTTAGTTTACCAAAACATCTAATGATTAACAAGATTGTTCTAAATATTCCAACCCCACCCATTTTATAAATATATATATATAGATATATAT